GAGATGAGGTATTATTTGTATCGAACTATAATTTATTGTAAATATTCTGAAGCTTATTTCTAACTGCTGTACCAAAAGGTGGCAGCATAATCATTATGACTTAGAATATTGCATCAAATGACATTCTGTGCAATTTGTGTTTTGCTATTTTTAATGCTTTAATTTGGACAGTATATAATATTATGACAGAAAACAGCTGCTTAAAAGAGAAGGGGAGTTGTGTAAAATATAAATTAAGTTGGTTTTAAGATTGTCTGAGTTGGAACAAAAAAAAAAGGAACATTATTCTCTCAAATGAGTTAATTTGGCTTCGAAGACATGACCACAAGTAGGCTACTCTTCGCTCATTTTAGATTCTGATCTCAATTTTAAAGCTCATTTTAGTTTGTTGACCAAAACTAAATGTTCTTATTTGCAAAGGTAAGACCTGAAATGAGCCACAAGAGGCAGACATTCAGTTTATGCTTTTATTGTTAGTCGTCTTTACTGATTGTAATGGTCTTTATATGAGTCCTCATTATGATCTCTGTTTACTACTGTGATACTATAACTATAGAAATAGATTGTAAGCAAAACAATAATAAATATGATATGATTAATTCCAAGTAATACTCACGGTCGGTAATCATGCAGCAAAAATGTAATAGTGTTAATGGGCAAAGGAAAAGAGGAGAGTCGGTATTCCTTACATTGTTCTTTATTCAGTGAAACGGTATGGGTAATACAAAGCAACCAAAGCAATAGCAACAAAACACAGGTTGGTTATATAATATACCAATGCAGGATCAAAAGGAATCCATTTGGGGGTAAAATGCTTTTTAACCATTACAGATTTACACATTAACACCAAAATCATGATCTCATTGCATTTGAAAGCAACAGAAGGCGCAGGCACTTTAAAAGAAGGATGAGCGGGCATGGAGTTTTAAAAGTTCTTCTCGTCCAAACTTTTCATGACCCTCACAACCCAGGGAAGCTTCGGATCCACACAGAGGGTAGCATATTTCTTCGTGGTCAGACTGAAACAAAAAGGTAAAAGGAGGAAGGAAAGGGAATAAAATAACAGATTAAAACCAAATACAAAGTAGGAAACGGAGACTCAAAATCTTATTGTATGAAATGTACTGTATTTAATGAGAAAAGGGACATTTGTGAACGTTTTCTTAACTTATTATGCTTATTCTGGTCATTATATCATATAAATGTAAGGATTAACTTACACGGCTGCAGTCCTTGGGCATCTGTCGTCGGTCATGTAATACGAGCGGACGTACTTTTTGTTCAAAGATCTCGGGTGGTAAATGAAGCAGCAGTCTTCAGGACCACCAGCATCTGGAGAAAGAAAAAGTATAATGAGTTGAGAAGTGTAACAGAACATGTTTTAAAGAATAACATCTTAAGTCATCTTACTGTTGCAGAACACCGAGGCGAATAGAGCGTGTCCCAGGATGCAGAGCAGGAGGATGTGACTGGTCCTCATGGTGGCTTCTGGAGATGTTTCTGGATGTGATGATGGAGGTTAATATCAAACCGCTCCTCGTCTGCAGGAAAGTGCTTCTGAGAAAAAGGTGGTGGGGTGTTGCGTTTATCACGATCAAAAAAGTATTACAAAAAAAGGTGTTGCTGGTGTAAAGGAAGGAGGACATTGTGGTTTCAAGGCGACTTTTTGCCTTTTACTTTCGCTACTTTAAGTATATTTTGATGCTAATACTTTTCTACTTTTACTTAAGTAACATTTGCAATGCAGGACTTTTACTTGTAACAGAGTATTTATACACTCTGGTACTTCTACTTTTACTCAAGTACAATATACTTGAGTACTTGAAAAATAAATAAATAAAACTTACTTTTTCTACCTCTGGTTTTACAAGAATAAAGTAGGTTGGCAGGTTTTGTATAAATAAAGAAAACGTGTTCTTAGGTTATTATCACAGTGTTCAACTCAGATTATAAATTGTAAACCTCTCTTTATGGCAGTAGATTAAACATTTGTTCAAATGACATCATCTCTTGAAGAAGAATCTCGGTGTTTCTGATAACGTTTGCCTTATTTCAGATTCATTTTTACACTCATTTTGATGAGACTTTTGTTAAGTTATAGTTTGGGTCACAACTTAAAACACATGATAATAAAGCTATATTTGACAAAACTAGAAATAGCAATGAGATGAGGTATTATTTGTATCGAACTATAATTTATTGTAAATATTCTGAAGCTTATTTCTAACTGCTGTACCAAAAGGTGGCAGCATAATCATTATGTTAGGCCAGACAACAGATTTGATGAATTACAATTAAAAATCAAGATGGTTTTAAGATTCTCCGAGTTGGAACAAAAAAAAAGGAACATTATTCTCTCAAATGAGTTAATTTGGCTTCGAAGACATGACCACAAGTACTCTTCGCTCATTTTAGATTCTGATCTCAATTTTAAAGCTCATTTTAGTTTGTTGACCAAAACTAAATGTTCTTATTTGCAAAGGTAAGACCTGAAATGAGCCACAAGAGGCAGACATTCAGTTTATGCTTTTATTGTTAGTCGTCTTTACTGATTGTAATGGTCTTTATATGAGTCCTCATTATGATCTCTGTTTACTACTGTGATACTATAACTATAGAAATAGATTGTAAGCAAAACAATAATAAATATGATATGATTAATTCCAAGTAATACTCACGGTCGGTAATCATGCAGCAAAAATGTAATAGTGTTAATGGGCAAAGGAAAAGAGGAGAGTCGGTATTCCTTACATTGTTCTTTATTCAGTGAAACGGTATGGGTAATACAAAGCAACCAAAGCAATAGCAACAAAACACAGGTTGGTTATATAATATACCAATGCAGGATCAAAAGGAATCCATTTGGGGGTCAAATGCTTTTTAACCATTACAGATTTACACATTAACACCAAAATCATGATCTCATTGCATTTTAAAGCAACAGAAGGCGCAGGCACTTTAAAAGAAGGATGAGCGGGCATGGAGTTTTAAAAGTTCTTCTCGTCCAAACTTTTCATGACCCTCACAACCCAGGGAAGCTTCGGATCCACACAGATGGTAGCATTTTTCATCGTGGTCAGACTGAAATAAAAAGGTAAAAGGAGGAAGGAAAGGGAATAAAATAACAGATTAAAACCAAATACAAAGTAGGAAACGGAGACTCAAAATCTTATTGTATGAAATGTACTGTATTTAATGAGAAAAGGGACATTTGTGAACGTTTTCTTAATTTATTATACTTATTCTGGTCATTATATCATATAAATGTAAGGATGAACTTACACGGCTGCAGTCCTTGAGCATCTGTAGTCGGTCCTGTAATACGAGCGGATGTACATTTTGTTCAAAGTTCTCGGGTAGTATTCGAAGCAGCAGTCTTCAGGACCACCAGCATCTGGAGAAAGAAAAAAGTATAATGAGTTGAGAAGTGTAACAGAACATGTTTTAAAGAATAACATCTTAAGTCATCTTACTGTTGCAGAACACCGAGGCGAATAGAGCGTGTCCCAGGATGCAGAGCAGGAGGATGTGACTGGTCCTCATGGTGGCTTCTGGAGATGTTTCTGGATGTGATGATGGAGGTTAATATCAAACCGCTCCTCGTCTGCAGGAAAGTGCTTCTGACAAAAAGTGCGTTTATCACGATCAAAAAAGTATTTTAAAAAAAAGGTGTTGCTGGTGTAAAGGAAGGAGGACATTGTGGTTATAAGGCGACTTTTTGCCTGCTACAAAACTTTCCACTGGGTTTTTCAAAGGCTGAGGTAGATTACAGGAAATGCATGTGGTTAAAGAGATGTAGCTCAAAGTACTGACGTGAAATACTGCGAAACCAAATGCTACGATATCACTTCAGCCCTTAATAACTCTAAAGCCATTATCAAATAAAACACCTATTAAGACACGGAAATTAAGATGTGTTTGATTGCATTTAAGGGTGATTCATTACTTTCCATATTCGAATACTTAAAAAATATAGCAAATAAAAATGTATAAATAGTATTTTTAGTGCTCATTAGAAGCTGCTTTAAGTAACGTTTATTGAAGTTTTATTTTATATTGACCTCATTTACCTAATAAGCTCAGCTATAAAATAACAAAACACATTCTAGTGAACAAGAAACAGAAGTAATAAATTATAAATAAAATACAAAAGATTGAAAAATGAATAAAATAAAATATATACATACATAATGCATGAATAAATAAAATAAATAAAGCCTTTAAATATTAAGGCAACTAAAACAAGAACTACTGGAAGTGAAATATTAAAATTGACACAAGATTAAAATGATGTACTCTTAAGTTTGTTTTGAGCGTGTGGTAAGAGCCCACATTAAATATAATGATGTAAGGGGGTAAAAAGTCTTGACTCCATGTTCTGATAGTTATTTGGTCAGCAGCCTTTTGGAGTCGAGTAAGGCCAAATTGGAAATGTTAAGTCGATGAGGTCTGTCGAGGGTAAAAAAATAAAGACACGCTGGTTGAATATGTACAGCTTTTTATTTTTAATAAAAGCATTGTTTATATACAGTTCAAGTGAGACAAAGTTGCATGGTCACCCTCAGCCGTCTCCATGTCTGTCTGTCACTCTACAGTACAACAGAACAGGTCTCTCCAGGAGGGGGGAGGGGGGAGGGGGGGAGGGGGGGGGGGGGGGGGGGGGAGAAGAGACAAAGCAAAACAAACAAGAAATGACAGCATATTACACTTTATATTCAAATTAGTTTGATTGAATTTTGCTTCATTGTGGATCACACAGTGTTTTGTTATCGGAGGAGGGTAGTGGTAGTGTTGGTGCAAATGCCACTTAACACAAACACATAAACACACACTTGGATCAAAAACAAACAACCCGTTTAAACCTGCGATTGATGACAGAAAGGGATGATGCGAGGCACAACTCAAAGGCTTACATGTATGTGCAAAAAGCTTTATTGCAGTCCTGCGGTGTGTCACCGGAGTGGAGGGTGGGAGTGGAGGGGGAGGGTGGGAGTGGAGTGGGAGGGGGAGGGGGAGGGGGGGAGTGGGGGAGTGCATCGAGAAGAGTGATCAGAAAGTGTGCTGCATGGTGCTTAGCTGACGCACACACTGAAACACAGACAAGCACAACATGATGATTCACAAATGAAAGGCGCTTCCTGTTTTCACACCCAGTGCTCCCGTTATACTTCAGCTGCAGTCCAGGCATTTAATAAAGTACATCTAAGCTCAAATAAATCATCAATAGTACAGGAAACAAAAGGAAGTAACACAAAAGTTCCTCACGAAGAAATGCCGTTAGCCGTTTCTGTGCAAAATGGGCAACATACACGGAAAAAAAGACATTTATCATCCTGTACGGGATCATAAGTAAGATGGTCCTTCATTTATTAAGATCAAGAAATGCCGAACCAGTGTCAACCAGTGTCAAAGTGTTGATTTCAAATCTCAACAGACAAAAAAGTTATTTGGACTCATTTCTACCCGATCTCTCATTACTCATCACACCAATGCTGGTAATAAAACCTCAACCACCAGTGATCTGAATACTGGCCCCGCCCCCTGCTGGTCGGGACACATCCACCACGGTGTGAACGCAGCCACATTAAGGGCCTGAACACAGAGAACAAGAGCGGCCACAGAGCTCCACAGGTGTTTACTGACGGCCACATGTGTTCACAATAACAGGAACTCTGAGTCCAAACAACACGTTAGAAAGAAAAAAGACACACTTGCCACCTTTTATCATGTCTAGTCGACTCTATGAAGCGCTTTCTTGCTTTAGAGACGGAGAAAACTTGATGAAACTATCACCATAAACCATACATACTCGATAAAAGCCGGGCAGTTTGCTACAGAATGTCAAGCTGCTGTGTCTTAGATTACAGCGGCTACAGTATGTACTTGCTAGAGTGCATATGACGACTTTTCTATCTGTTAGGGCTGTTACTACTTTCATTGTTCAAATCGAGTATGTGCTTGTGGGGGAGAGGCTCAGTGAAAACCCTTCATTTGACTGGAACAAGTCCTGTTTTTGATAAATATGAATAAATACAAACTTTAAAGACTTCACACCCACACCAAGACATCAGGAATCAGAACACTAACAAGCTGAAATGTACTTCAAACATTAGGGTGGGGGTCCAGTGTGACAATGACTGTGTGTTTTACAGCAGCATCATCATCATTTACTCCAGTGTCATCGACATAAATAATCTGCAAAACTACATTTTACAGACCTCCTTTTAGAGATTTTAAAACAAATGTAACAGTGCTCTCGCAGACACCAATTTGTCTTCAGCATGAAGGCGACGTGCATTTCATAGATGTATAACTCGTGACAGAGTTGACTTCATGGAATGGTTCAGGAAACAACACAAATTAAAAACACATTCAAAGTGAAGGAATGACAGAAGATCTGAGAAAAATAAGGTGCAGAAACTAAGAGATATAGCTGAAGCTATGACTCGGGAGATGTGGAGATTTGTTGCACTAAAAAGCCACATTTAGAGAAAAGACGAGTGGAAGTGTAGCTAGAAAGATCGAGAGCATGGAATTAAACTTAGAGTGGAGGATTAAAGTTGATCTCCTCTGGTGTGTGTGATACATTCTTCAGCCTCTACCAGCTACACTTTCCCGCCTCTCGCTGGGCCTCTGAGGGGAGGAGGGGTGATGGGAGATAAATAAGGCCTCGTGTCCCTTCTCTCTCCCCCTCCAGGGTGCTGGTTCCTGTTAGAGCAGTGAGGCAAGAGGTTTATCTCAGACGTGTCCCGCTGAGGTTAAAAGTCTTGCTCAGGTCCGTACTGCCTGCTGAGAGTCCAGTTTGATTCACCGAGAGCTGGAGGGGACCTGGTTTCCTCTGATCTCAGATCAGCGCTTCAGCACCGGGCTGCATCGCTCCGGATCTTTCTGTAGCGCCTGCAGGACCTGAGAGACACACAGAAACAGTTAGAGATCCACCAATCCACTGGCCATGACTGATGATAAAATCAGGCTAATATTACTTTTAGGTCAAATATTCTCACTTAAAAAATCATCTAAAGCTGGCCGATAATAGGACATTCAATTATTTGTGGCCCTTGATATTGTCACTATATTTTAGGGTTGACTATTGATGCTCTCAGGAAATATTTACACAATGTGGATTTCGATAAATAATCATCAGTAATGTGGATATTTCTGGTAAATCCAGAAGACTTTATTTATCCTGGGGTAAATTGGGTTTTATTTCTTAGTTGAATAAATTAAAAGATGAATAGAAATAGAAATATTAATATATAATAACATAAGATGTTAAAAAAATAATATCCAATAAAAAGATAAGAATAATTGAAAGAATATTTCTATCAAGAGATAAACTAAAATAGAATAAACATATTTATGTTGACTAAAGTAGTTAAAGTAAAGATGTGACCATTGTACTACGATATATAATGTATATAGATGGGTGTATTATTTTAAATAATATATTAATGCTAAATTAAAAACCATAAAATCAACACTCACGATACCAATTTCTAAGATGCCTTATATCAAAGTACTGATATAATATCAATATATATATATTGTCCAGCCCTAGCACCAACCCAAAGCCTTCCAATGTAACTCTCCGACATCCTACCTGCGCCCACTTCCTGTTGCGGCTGGTCATGTGGATGGCAGTGATGTGCTGGAAGAGCTGATCCGCTGGGATGAGGTCGGGGAGGCGGGTGAGGAACTGAGCCATGTGGATGAAGTCCATGGGGGTGAGGACGTCCTGGTAGAGGCGCAGCAGCCCCAGCCCCGTGCGGAACAGGAACTCCTCGTGGTCTCTGCAGAACACGTCCCACACCCGGCACGCCAGGTCCAGCGGCAGGGACTTACTGTACAGAGTGAAGATCCTGCGGGGGGGGAGATACACGGATCAACTACAGCAGATTAAAACAAGAAACAAGCACGTGCACTGCAGGAAGTAAACAACTCACCAGTCGATTAAATAAATATCAGGGGTCAAGTTGTTTTTCTGGAAATGTGCAAAGAGCTTTGGTAGGTTTTCTTCAAAGAACACTTCAAAAGCCGCAAAGTAAGTCAACATCTGCAGAGAGAGGAGAAGGTGGTCTTAAAGAGGGGTAACACAGAAACCACATTAGTGTTCAACAAGATGGAGGCTGAGTCATGTGTGGAGGGGGGCCAGTGATTTCTGTGGTGTGTGGCGGCTTCAATTAGATAGACCTGCTATTGTATAAAAAGCTACACCTACGCTTTAATGAGGTGTTGGTCCTCGTGCTGTATGTATTACTTTGCCAAGTTAACTAATAATAAATATATGCGCTGAGGCCTCTCCTTGAGTCTTAAGAAAGTAATGCCAGTAGAGTACAGCTTCCAGTTTAAATGAGAATATTTGATTATTTCCTCAGTGATCTGCAATTTTAAACTAATTATATTATGGTTTGGGAATGTTGGTTAAACAAAATAGATGTTTGAATGATTAAATTAAGATGATAATTGACAGATTTATCAATTATTAGTCATTTTTTGTTGCAGCCCTACCTTGGAATACGGGTGTAACGCTAGCTTTGATATTTAGAATTGAAATATTAATGTCATGTTATTAATAAACATTTGGTTAAACCATGTAAATTGTCTCGCCCTTAAATAATATCATGTTCATTTATTATTGTACCCTTCTGGCTAAAGACCCTCTCTCTTCCTCCCTACACTCATATTTTGAGTGTAATAATAGGAGGAAAAAGAGACAATTCACAAAGACAAGATAAAGGATTCATTTGACTGATGGTAGTTAGTGATTTCAAGAAAAATAAATGTAAAAGATGTAATAATAATAATATCGTTATCCTGATTTAATTTGGCAACGACAGTTGTCTGATATTGTGACAGTCATACTTTGGAAGCAATATATTATAGCGGAAAGTCACTGTATATTTATGCATTTAAGGTAATTAACTATAATTTTAGGTCAGGAATTAACTTCAATGCTCATGAAACATACAAAGTTCAAATTAACTATTTGAATGTAGTTGAGCTGTAATGGTTCCAAAAGGCATGTGTGAAATGTGTAATCACAGGCGCAGTAAGTGAGGGGCTGAATGTTTGTGTGTGCGTGTGCATGTGTGTGTGTGTGTGTGTGTGTGTGTGTGTACTGACAAGGCTGTGGTCCACTCTGAAGAAGGCCATCTGACAGGGCTTGTTGAGCAGGTTGGCAAAAGCTATAAAGGCATCGGCTGTGTCCAAGTTCAGGATGAGCACTGCTGCGATGAACGACATGCCCTGCACCTGAACACAAAAACACATATAGAGTTTGAACAAGCAAACACAAAACCCCCCAAACCCCCGGTCTGTCGGGGTCTTGTATGTGAAAAAAAAAAAGTGTTACCACGAAGCGTCTATTTTGACTTCCGCTGTAAAAACAACGTCAGAGAAAAATGTTAACACCTGTTAACGGTAAGTTTTACACTTTACCCTCATTTACACTGACGCTAACTTAAAGCACTCTGTTAAATCTTATTTTAAACTGTAATGCTGATGCAGACAGATGCAAAGGAGAAAACAAAGACGCCTGCACAGAGGTGAATGCATAGTGTGTGTGTGTGTGTAGCAGCTAATGGGTTGGGGTCAGTGCAGGAAGTCACAGTCATTTCCACCTAAGTACACACAGCGTGGGACTGCAGTGAGCAGCAGCGAGGTTAAAACCACAGCATCTACAAGTGGCTTACAGACATGCAAACACAAGTTTATGTGAGAAGAAGAGCATCCAACGCTTTCTTCTAATGCTACTGTCTTATTAGAGTTTCACGGTGGAAAAACACTGTGCGAGGCATTTTGTGTTTTACAACTGTGGAAATTCAGAGAAAGTGACCACAACCACCTCTATGAACGTGTAGCTGACATCAATTTACACATTCCTCTAGTTCTGTGAATCTGTTGCTATTATATGCCAAATAAAATGAATATCAAACAAAACCTATATTATCCATTTATTGATATTAATAGAATTTAAACATAATTACAGGTGCAACCATGGATATCTGACTGACATGGTTAGAAAATACCTGTTTTGACACCTGTGCTATTTGCACACTTTTGAAAATAGCTACACCATAGCTATTTATTTGTTTAAGTTATCGAGAAAAATATTTCCAAAAATACCTATGAATTCAATATATAATCAAATGTATACCTGGTTGTAAATAGCATTGTTGACTATAGACACAAATAGCATCTGCCATCAACATTTCAGGTTGCATTAAACCAGTATTCTCTTGCTAATCATCATATTTTTCTGAAAAACTACTAATAGTGTGAAAATAAAGTTTTAATCACTTTACATTATGATCAATTGAATAACATTTAGAAGCTTATCCTACGCTTATAAAAAGCTAAATTGTAAAAAAAACATGAGGTCTGAGTTTAAAATGATTACTTTAAGTTTTGGTTGTTTGCAATATGCAGACAACAGAATTTTTAGATGACACCTCACACTTAATGGAAACCAAATATTGGAACATTCCAGTCGTAGAGACCACAATCAAACTGTAGGTGTTATGTGGGAAGTCTGTGCTGTGTCATATTTAACCTTCATGATAGGCAAGTGTTACTACTGCAAGACCTCAAAAATACACTATGGAAAAAAAGAGATGCAGGCATCACACACGCATACAGACCCAGAACACAATATCTAATGTCTACCTACATTAAAGGCCTTTGTTTGGGACTATGTGACAGCTTTCTTAAAAGGCACGGTACACAAAGTGAGACAAAAAGCAGTCAATGTGCTTGTGGAACACATAAGGATGCAAATGCTATGTTTTGTGTGTGGGACTTACGTAGCCGACGTCTGGCCGGTAACAAGTGTATGCTCCCAGAATGCTGTGCAGCACATCGTGATATGGCCCGCCCTGATGTAACAAAAATAAATTAAGAACCAACAGGCATAAAGTACACTCATACACACACCCTGTCCCGGCATTCAGTGTCTGATGATACAATAATATCAGAGTAATGTTACAGAGGATCCATAGTATGGCTGATGAAACAGAAGTCTTATAGGATTGCTGAGCTTTTCTTCACTGACCTGCTGGAAGATACAGAGGTGGGGGAAAGTTCTTGAGATGTCCAGCTTGATGAGCTCCAGGCTCGACTCCCGATCTGACGAACCAGCATCTGGAAACACGGCAAAGCATTTAGAAACCAAAAAATGTATTTGTCATTTAAAAAGGGGCTCTGTTATGCTTTTTGGGATTTCCCTTTCCTGTAGTGTGTGTTAGGTTTTTGTTCATGTGAATGGTCTGTAAACTTCTAAAGTTCCCTTGAATTTGCACAGAAAAATAAGTTTGTGTACCTAACTTTCCTCTTTTTTTTTTAATTAGCCTTTTCATTTTCCAATTCCTGCATTATTTTTCCATCCTGCCTTTGGTGTGATAAACCGCCCTGTATCTCGGTTTCTTTATCCTTTCATTTCCTAGTCCCTTCAGTCTGGTGGTTTACCTGTTTAACATGTGCTTGTCTGTCTTCTTTCTCGTTGGTCTATCTGCACCTCTAGTTGTTGCTCTTTTGTTTAGTCTCTCCCTCAACTACAACGATCTCAATCCCTCTCTCCAGTGCTTTACTTGGAAATCAGGGAAAGTCTCAACAGCAGCTGAGGGGGCTGGCTATTACCTTTATAACGAATATTAAGGTTACAGCTGGTCAACTATACAATCGGCATTTACTCTACTACTGGATTCTTCCCAAACTGCAGCCAAAATTAAATCCACTACACTTTTTTGTAGTTCACAAATATTTAGATTCCAAACCAAGGTCAAGGAACCTATTTACTTTACTATGTATGACCGGGAGGGTGGGAACAAAAAATCAAAAAAAGGGAAAAATATATACCGTATAATGTAACTCATTGGTACGGAGCCCCTAAAGGGACATGAAAAAAAAAGAGAATAAACGTAAATTAACAAGATACTAACCCGTTATCCCGACTTTTTTTAATTAATTTTTTTAGAAAGTTACCGGTGTGCCAAGGAGGAAGTGGAGCACACAGGAGACAACCATTTCATTGCAGACTTTTATGTTTATTTGGGGAAATGGCAGTGCATACATTATTTGAGATATATTTCGAACTCAGACTTAATTTTAAGGACATTTCGGCCAGGGGTGTAGAGCTATTTGTTTAAGCACCGGATTGGCAAAACAGGAGAGTCTGTAAACCAGTCTGCTTTGATCTATGAATTCATGTCCATGACTCTCAGAGTAGGCTACCTTCTGCCCGCCACACACACACACACACACACACACACACACACACACACACACACACACACACACACACACACACACACACACACACACACACACACACACACACACACACACACACACACACACACACACACACACACACACACACACACACACACACACACACACACCACACACACACACCACACACACACACACACACACACACACACACACACACACACACACACACACACACACACACACACACACACACACACACACACACACACACATCACACACACACACACACACACACACAACACACACACACACACACACACACACACACACACACACACACACACACACACACACACACACACACACACACACACACACACCACACACACATCACACACACACACACACACACACACACACACACACACACACACACACACACACACACACACACACACACACACACGTCACTCTTTAGCTGTTCGAATGAAGGTAAACACAGTGTAGGCGGTGCGTAAAAGCTCTTTGTGTGCTGGTGCTGCTCTTCTCCGAGTTGCACGTCCCGCTGTCTCCTGGAGTGACCACACACCCCTGGCCGAAATGTCCTTAAAATTAAGTCTGAGTACGAAATATATCTCAAATAATGTATGCACTGTCATTTCCCCACGTAAACATAACGATGGGTTACGTATTGTAACCCTAGTTATATAAGCACAGGCGGAGCCCTCTACTGGACTCTATGGGTACTGCCCTTGACCTCACTATGCGAGCGTTCACCTACTGAGAAATCTATAAATGTAGCCGGCCCCGGGGGCGGGCCTACTTGAGTGCTCGAGCAGGCCCACAGTATATAAGGCGGCCTCGCCTCCCGACCGTCATCCTATACCCTCTTCAGCGAGCAGCATAGGACAGACAGGGCCCCCAGGTAGAGGGCTCCGTCTGTGCTTATATAACTAGGGTTACAATACATAACCCATGGTGGGTGCAGCGGGTGGAGCCCTGATGGATACACGCCCTGTTGTCCAACAACCCATCACACTACCCCTGACCGGCTTTTTTTGGTTAACAGCCACTGCACCGCAACCTCTCCTCCCTCGGTTGTGACCGTGGAGGAGCCGGGCCGCAGCTTACTTGGCTGGGTAGAGCACACCCAGATACGCTTACCTCGCGAAGGGTGTGCATGGGAAAAATAGTGAGGACAGCTCGCCCTGCCTGGGGAGTCCTCCAGCCCTGCATGGGGCTCACTGCGCCTCATGTTTCTCGGGTCCCTAAGGAGCATGGGAAAACATAAGTGCAATATGTCCGGGGGGGGGGGGGGCAGATATCTACTGACCGCCCCCCCCCTTCACCAGTCCCGTGTTGCCCCAGCAAGCACAGACGATGAGAAGGAGCCAGACTTGTCCGGGAGATAAAACATTATAAAGGGGCCTGGCGTGGACCAAGACGCCGCCGTGCATATGTCCTCCACACTCACGCCATTAAATAAGGCTGTTGACACAGCCATACCCCGTGTAGAGTGTGCACGGACCCCGTGGGGAAGGCTCTCCCCGCCTGACCGTAGGCATGTACAATGCACTCGCAGAGCCATCCTGCCAGGCGTTTCTTGGACAGAGCTTTACCGGCCACCACTTGTTTTTGTAACAGGGTCTGAATCTCTGCTGAAAGAAAACCTCACCTCCTGGGATGGTAGATTTGTCTCTCTTACACCTTTGAACAGAGGAGGGATGCTGCAAAACAGAAGTGTATAACCCTGTTTCAGCGTCCTGTCCATCCACTCTGTTAATACACAGCTGTGCTTCCATTCCGCATAACATTGTGTTAGGGGATGAGCAACCAGCTGTGGTACTCCCTGGTGGCCCACTCCGCCGCAAAACTCCCCATGAAGGGAAATTCTGCCCATGGGGGGCTGACACAGAAAGGGCCTCCGATTTTCTACTGAGGTCCCTGAACTCACCGCAGCGCGGTCTCGCGCTCCGCCATAATGCAATTCTCCCTCAAACGAAAAAATGCATTACCCTGAGTTTTTAGTGCCGTGTGCCTCCTGACAATCACACGCCGGCCATAATGCCCTTGTACCCGCAGAGCGCTCCGATAGCATTTCCTGCGGTTTATTACCCTCGTCCAGTGGCGGCGCCAGGGTATGGCTGGGGTAGGCTACAGCCATACCAAGAAATGGCTTAGCCCTACCTTAGCCCCACCATGAAAAATGATGTTAAAGTAAGCAAAATAAAGTCCGCCAACTCGCGCGAAGTAAATTGCACAGACAGCAGTTAGTAAGATTGATTTCAGTAGCCACTTGTCTGGAAATACCGAAGACTAGAAACGGTTTTGAAAACTTTTGTCACGTAGTGATCATCTTCTCAATAGAACATCTTTGATAATGTCTTCTGGCCAATCAGAATTACGATAACGGCGTGGAGTTGTTCCAGGAAGTCCCGACGGAGAATACTTTTGCGGTAGTACATCTCTATATACATCGATACAACATTACGTGTTGATAGAAATCAACACGTAATGAAATAAGACCCCACGGTTTGATGATTGATAGGTGTGTGGGCTGTCTTTCATTTTGACACACAGAACAATGGGGGCTATCCACCCTTATCCACAATGTAAAGTAATTCACACAGCCTCTTCTCTCTGTGAGGAGCAGCAGGTTCAGCTTTCAGAACAAAGTCACACAAAACTAAAATGGCATTCATTTTTTTAAATGTGTAGTAATAGATTTATTTATTTTTCTTCTCAAGAGAGTACTAGAATGTGTATTTTATTTTAGTATTTCAAAAAATCTCCTGGGGGAGAATCCCCCCAGACCCCCCTGCAGGGGTTGGGTTTTCAGCATGTCAACTCTTTCACCTGTGGGGAAATTGCAGGATTGGCTCCAGGTCGCCCTTTTTATTTACCACAAGACAAATGTGCCTTTTTATGAATTTCATACAGTTCAATTTGGATTGAGACAGGGAAATAAGCTAAACCTCACGCGTGGCGTTTCACTGTCGGGGGGGGAGGGGGGGGGGGGGGGGGGGGGGGGGGGCGATATAGCGTGTATGTAATTACATTGCAAATACTGACTTGAGCCCCACCACTGTATGGGTTAGCCCTACCATAGATTACCCAACAAAAATACTCTGGCGCCGCCACTGCCCTCGTCTGCGCATGCCCGGGGGCAGAGGTTTTTTCCCCTCCGCCCATCCAGCTGCCTGCAGAAGCAGATGGGCCGCTAGGCTCTCATCAAGGGGGGGGCACGCCGGGACCTATTGTGTCCGAGCGGCCCTGCACCCTCAGGATCCACTGAGATCCAAAAGACTGCATGTTGTGAATTACTTTAAATAAGATACAGCTGGAGTTGGTGTTTATGAACAATGGGAATAAAAGGAGTGTCAGACTTTGCAAAGCTTTTAAATACATTTTTAGAAAAACAAAGAACTAAAATACATGTAATGAGTTTAAAAAAAAAAAAAAAGTTTGGATAAAGCTGTAACAAAGTGACATCACTCTGTAACACTGCTTCTATTGGCTAGTGTTCCAAAACATTGTACATGATAGAGGTTGACCAATCACAACAGAGCCGGCCAGCTAACCAATCAGAGCAGACTGCGCTCTGGTTTCAGACAGAGGGTGAAAAGAGGTGCTGCAGCACAGGCAGTATGAGAATAATAAAGAGCTTTTGAACATTAAAGCATGGAGACATGTCCCAGTAGAGACACTACATACTGATGTGAACCTGGAAATGATCATAATAGGTCCCCAACAGCATAGGATTTTCTCTTTTCTTTACCTTCAGCCTCCAAGGACGGTGCTGGTGTTGTCCTCCACTTCTCTTTGGCCCGGGACAGACAGATGTCATACAGCTCTGCAGGGTCACATAACACAGAACAATCAATGAGAGAAATAGAGGGCGACTACAGAAAAGGTGGAGAACATGATGACTGGACAGATCCACTTCAGATGATATAAGGATTCACATTACTCTGCAGCAGTAACTACTGGAGGTAGGGGTGTAACAGTATACGTATCGAAAACATTCGGTATGGGCCCTTCGGTTCGGTACGTGTGTACTGAACGAATATAACGTTAAACGTAAAAAATTGAGAACGTGAACAACTTTTTTGAAGTAATCTCAGGTGCTGCGTCGCAGCGTTCAGTGTAATTTGCTCACCATGGGTTCAACGCGTCATAGAGCGACCATGTGATTTAATTGGACGAGAGGTATACTATGAGAGCTGGTCACAGGGATGCGTTCAAATTTAGACAGTAATTTGAGGAACTGGCGAAACGGCAAACGCAGATAAAGTTGAGCTCGAAAATCCTCCAGCATCATTGAAGTCTCCGGTTTGGGAACATTTTGGTTTCGCAGTTACGTACAAGGATGACGGACAAAGACAGGTGGACCGAACTAAAGCTTTTTGTCGGCATTGTTCAACTAAAATTGGTTACGCGGGTGGCAATACATCAAACTTGCACACTCATTTGAAAAGGCATCACCCGAACGTGAATATCACCGGTACCAAAGGAAAAATGACTGAAGTGCAAACCCAACTCCCACTAGCATTTAAGTCTCCAGCACTCGCAAAAAGTTCAGACCGAGCCAAAGCTATTACAAACGCCAAATATCCTTATGTTGCCATGTTAGCAAAGCGCTACCTGGCTGTATCTGCTACCTCTGTCCCTAGCGAGAGGGTGTTCTACACAGCAGGAGACATTGTTAGTGCCAGCAGATCTGCCCTTTCGGCAATCAATGTGGACAAGTTCATTTTTCTTAAAAAAAACATGAAAATACAATGACAAGCCTAATGTCAAGCTGGCTGCTTAGGTGAGTACTAGTACAGTACAGTTCAAGTAAAGATTATTTCAGTTCATCGAAATGCTGCACCTCAATGTTTATTTAATTATATTTGGGATTTATTTGGGGGAATACATTATTCACAGTTTAATAATAATGTTAAAAAAAACCCTAAAAAATATTTTATGTTTTGTGATCATTTTTTCTGCTGTACCGAAAACATACCGAACCGTGACCTAAAAACCGAGGTACGTACCGAACCGAAATGTTTGTGAACCGTTACACCCCAGTCTGGAGGTGATTAAAGGAAAGAGATCTCCCTCCATTACCAGAAGACATCCATTATGATGCTACGTTAGATAGCCTGGGATGTGTTGTGACCTGTGGCTGCCCTCTAGTGATGAGCTTCTGGATCCAAATAATGAGCTTTCTGAGACATGGAGCTCTGGTGTTATTGTATATACTCTTTTTCTTGAACAATGCAATAAAGTGCTTAATAAAGGAAATAGAACCAGACATGGTAAATCAGATGGAAAAAAGGCCAAAGGAAAAGAGCACAGAGGAACTAGATAATACAAAATAAAATAAATAGTATTATCTATAAAACATTTCAGACTTGTTCTAATGATCCAACAATGTGATTCAATGGGGCTTATATGAATGATTGGGGGGGGTGGGGGGGGAATGTTTTTGTTTAATGTTATGTCAACTGACTGGGAGGGGGTGAGATAAATGGATTTTGTCACTCTTATAACTCTTCATCTCTTTTATGGATGATTATGCTCCAAGTGTAACCACACCTCTCATAATTAATAGCCTACATTTGTTCACCGTTTGGCAAATTGTCAGCTATCACTGGATTATTCCAATTTTTAAGGCAAGTTCTGGAGTTACAATCAGCGTATAATGTTTCTTTGCAGATTAACTGACATTTGCGTGCGTTGACATCGGAAACAATAGATATAAGTGACATCCTCAGGAAGTATAAGTAACTCTGCATCTACAAATATGAGTATCATCTTAGTGTGTCACACCTTACTTTTATCATACACTTCTGTAACTTGAGTACCACTAGAAGAAATATAAATGCAAGTAGTAGCATTAGCAGCAGCATTAAACCTAGGAATAATGGCACTGAACTTATGAAAAGACGGACATGTTTGAAGGGGACTGAGCTTTGTATGAGTGTGTGTTTGTGTATAGAGTGTATGTGTAGTGATAATACTGTAGGCCTGTGCTCCATTTAAAAGGATGAGTAGCACAAAGCACAGAGCGGGCGCTTATCTGCGAGTAGCCCTGAGGAGCTTTCACTGAGAGATATGAAGTTGGTGCTTCTTAATGTGAGTGTGGAGAATTAATTTGCAGTGTGTGTGTGTGTGTGTGATCTCCATACTGCATTGACAGCTCATTAAAATGCTCTTGTACTGGGAGAGTCATTCAAAAACCTTTCTCCATAATCGACACACTCTTCTTTCCTCTCCTATTTATCACACTACCACTAATTCAACTAACATAGATAGAACTTGTGACACCTGTCTATCTTTATGTGTGTGTGTGTGTGTGTGTGTGTGTGTGTACAGTCACAGGTTGGTGTGTACCGTGTGTGATGTTGAGCTCGTTGCCCACGGCCAGGCTCCACACTTTGCCCCGCACACTGGGGGGGATGCCCTGCCACCACAGGTCCCTCACGCGTCGAGACGTGCACCTGGAGGAAGGTGAAGTGTGTTAAATGTTGAAAAATAGACACACCAGAGGCTGCTTAATAACTGCGTATCATAGAGGAGCATCATTCATTGATTACAGCCACAAGGGGGCAGTCATTTCCTCCACTTCTGAAGATTCATGATTCAAAGGTTTATTGTCATAGCATTCACAGTGAATTCACTGATTCCACATTAAGTGCAGGACTTGACCCCTCTTCAAAATAAAACTTATCCTTAACCCATTTACTCATTGTTTATGTTTACTATATGGTCAAATAAACCAAAAGTCTCTACAAACACCTCCCCAATACATTAGCAAAGTAAATCTGAGATATTACACCTGTACATGTAGGAGTGGCAGTACTTTGGAAGTCGACATAACTTTATGACAAAGGCTCTGAAATTGTATTATTAAAATCAACATGCTGGAATTAATAGGTGCCAGTTCTGCTTGCTTAACAGGTTGTGTTCTGTAGACCTCATTATGAATCATTATGTGTTTGCATGCTCGCCTACAGCAGCTGCTCAGTGTACGCTCTAATGAGGTGACACAATAACTGTGACAATAAATGGCTGTGTACTGATTTGATGCACTGATAAAAAGAATGGCATATATTAAATTCCCATGTAGGCCTAGAGGTCGTCATATCTTACTAATCATTTTACACAGGACTTAATAGATGACTTAAATATATACTGATTGTGTAATAAATGTTACGCTAAGTGCAACACACATACAATTCATGTATAAAACTGCTGGCTGACTGTGGTTGGGGTTTAAAAAACGGTATGCTAAGATGTTCAGTTATTTAAAATTGTGTTTTCATTATGATAACATCCTCATATGTTTGACAGGATTTTAAGTGCTACTCATTCATCAGCATAAATGTGGCCACATGAGGCAGTGTAACTAACACAAAGCTGCGCATGTGAGTAGAGTTTTTGATATGGGTAAATGACAGTAGAAATTATGATTTGATATAAATGGTCCAACTGTGCTTTGTAATTGATGGAAAATCCTTATTTCTGTCATCATAGACAGAGTTATTGTACTCACGTTGTGCTCCAGTTGGGTAAGATCTCCTGGTTCCAGATCTGGGCGGCCGTGCCGATGCTCTCTTCAAGCTTACACCGGTCCTCCAGCTGCTTCTTCCTCTTCTGAGCCTCCTTCAACTCTGCAGACAGGAGTGAGGAGAAATGTGGTTAGAATCAAATAAAGGAAACGTTAGAAAGAGCTATGATAAAAACAACATGTCAAGATATAAAAAATATTTTAAGTTCATTTCCACATCTGTGCAGTAATCCTGACACGGCACCATTAAAAGTAACCCGCACTGTACATACATAAAATCTGCATTGTTTGTACAAATGACTTTGACCTGCACTCGCATCTGCACACATACAAGTAAATATATTTAACGAACCCAAATATGTATATATGTTAATTCAACTGATCAACGTTTACCTTGATGTGATATCTTGTTTTAACAGTAACTATATAATTTAATTTGTATTTTCTGTATTATTCTTTTTTTACCTTGTGAGAATCTGTACTGTCCTGTTTTTCATTCTCACTCAGTTGCTGCTTTAACTCCTGAATTTCCCCACAGGGATAAATAAAGGTCCATCTTATCTTATACAAACTAAAGTGTATTGCATTTAAATTGTGAGATTTGCAGTAAATATTCTCTGTAATTTTTTAACATTGCAAAGTCATCCCACGGACCGGATTGGACCCTCTGGCGGGCTGGTTTTCCGTGTGTTTGACACCCCTGCTCTGAACCTGGACTCCTCACCTCTCTTCTTGGCCTGGGCCACCATCTCTTCATACTGCTGTCGGTGCTTCTGGGCCTCCTCGGCGGGCTTGGCAGGCAGATTACTGTAACACACATCAATGCAGGGAAATGGATCAGCCACTATGTGTTCTCTGAGCTTTACTTGAATTATTCATGTTGAGCTAGCTTGCATGGAACAGCACAAAGTGCACCCTTAATGTGCTCCATATTAAAAATACACATCTCCAAGACAACTGGGCTGAAAACCAGGTTATACGAGTGAAAGCTCCAGAACAGCTACTGAATTGACCTTTGTAAAGAAAATAAATCGTATAGTAAAGCCTTTTTTTCATTTTTAAGATTTGACACACTTATTTTATAAATATAAGTGATAGAAAGGTATTTCAGCATTTCGTTTTGATACTCCAAATATAATCTACATTTTATTGAGTCTTCTTAGTGGGAATCACGTGATTTTAAATGTCACTGTGTATACGCTTTTCATTAATTATGTTTAGCCAAAACTACTATTTTTCGGGCTACAAACTACAAACAAATGGTTCATTTTAATTTAACTAAGACAATAACACACATTTTCAGTGTTTTTTCAGAAGAGTTTCACCAGTAGGGGGTGACCGTAAAGAAGGAAAGGCGATGGGAGGTTGCATGCAGAGGCTGAGCTCACATTTTGCCAGTCATGGTGTTAGAATAAACTTCCTTTTGTTCACACAGGAAATCAGGCCAATTGCTTTTTACTTACTACGAGCAGAAGTTTTAATCGTGTGGCTGAGCAGCAAAACTGAATGAAAAATTAAGCCTGGAATATGTCTGTGTGTATGCCGGTTAGAAACATTTAAGAAACAAAAACTAGGGTAATGGAGCCAGGCTGAGGGAGGGTCATTAAACTTTCAGCAGCGCCTCTCTTTTACCGACTGTGATACAAACAGGGGGAGCTGGAACAATACTGAATGGGGTCTAATGACAGAGGAAGGAGGAGTGATAAAGGAGGAATGAGGGGAAGATATAATAGAGGCGACATAAGTGGCTATACTGTCTGATAAGCAGTGAAGAATGTGGGACATGCTAATATCCCACAGATATTCAACTACGCCACAGACAAGTGTCAGTGTTTACATACGCAGGTCTGTCCTCCAGTATGAGTGCGGTGGTGGAGAGGGGCTCAAAGTCCAGGTTTTTCCTCACACCGTGCCTGGGAGACGTCGGGTTGCCAGGTCCAGCTCTGCCACTCTTTGTTTCATATTCCTGTGGACAAAAAAAACACACATTTAGACCAAAAAAAAAGCTTACTGAGGAGTTTTAGAGGAAAAACAGCCTGCTTTTGCTGTTCATGAGATGTGAGCAACATTAATACACACAGTGGAAAATTGGTGGATTACTTGCTTTATAATCCATGTCAAAGTACATGAGTAAATTGCCACAAGCTGAAATTAAAAAGCATGTTGTGATCAGACTCAACTGCTAGGATGTAATAGCTGGAGAAACATTTTTAAAACATGAGAACTTTTCGTGTACGTTACATCACACAGAAACACTGAGAAATGTCTTAACCTTGTGACAAGGCTCTTTTGGCCTTTGAGCATTTGTCAGCTGGTGTCTAATGAGTGTTGGACTATAGGAAGAGGAGACCATGTGACTTTCAGTATGAAACAGCAACCAACACAAGGTTTACCACCAGCTGACTTCTGTGTTTGTCTTAAAAAGCACACACAGTTCAGGGAAGACCTTTAGATAAAACCCAAGATTGTCTGGTTAATTAAAAAGCCATTGTATTTAGGACGAGTGCAATACAAGCACACATGCATGGGGACTGCAGGCAATCAGCTTAACACAGCGCTGCCACAGGGCCGTTCACATTGGTCACAATACAGACAGGGAAATATATTCTCCACAATAGCTGTGTGTGCGTGTGTGTGTGAGTGTGTATGCGCGTGTGTGACAGATGCTGTCCAAGTTTATTATCCGCCTTTGTGTCGCGTTTTTTTTGTTTCCCAAAGCCTGGGGGACCAATAAAGTTAATTGAATAAGATCCAATAAGGCAGGGCATCAGAGATTAAAAATAATAGACATAAAAAAGACAAATCCATCATGACCTATTGATAATAGCACCTAACAGAGAGTTAAGTTCTCTACAAGATTAATGAAATAGGCCATAAAATAAAAGAATAAGCAGTCAAAACAATCTATATATATATATATATATAAGTGCTCAGCTGTGTGAGTCTTTACTTAGGCACCACAAGCTAAATGCTAAAGTCAGCATGCTCACACGCTTACAAATACAATGCTAACATTTGAAGTTTAGCAGGTAATGTTCATCATCTTAGTTTTTGAAAATAGTCCCACATTCTAGAACATATGCTTATTTCTTTCTTGCAGGTTCTTAAATGAGAAGATAGAAACTCTCCCATTTCTGAATGAAAAATCAAGTTGAAGAATAGTTTTGCTTGAAACTGGACTTGCTAGCCCAAATTTGTCAAAAGATAAAATAAATATACCTCTACCAATACCTCTCATTGAATGAGAAGGGCATTATTTATATTTAAAGCACAAATATGAGAATGGTACCAATTTTACCCAACTGATTCCAAGAAAGCAAAAAATTAATTGAATTAAATAAAAACATTAGAAAGTGAAAATTCGCCAGTCGCCAGTGTCTCTACCTTTGCAGAGACCAAAGAAAAGTCATGCCAAAAAAAAAGGTGACCACATTACAGAGTAATAGCAGGGTATCATCTTATCTACACATAGCAGGGAAGCAGAAGAAAAAACAGGACCAGAGATAGTCGAAGGGAAAGCCTGACAGTAGAATGCCTCTCCTGAGGATTGAGCATTAGTGGAAAGCAGTTGACACAAAAGACAGAAATAAATGAGGGCCATGATAAATTGAGGATGAGAGTCAAGAGTGCTAAATGAAGTGAACTCCCCAGTCACTGGGAAATGGAGGTCATTCATGGGTAAGCCTGCACTCAGCACTGGGATGGGAGTAGAGTGCTACACAGAGGGCTGAGTCACCATTCTTATGTGTACTTTCCTCTATTTCTTTGCCATCTTTATCCTGACTTTCATCTTCCCTGCATCTGTTTGTCCGTCCCTCACTCCCTTAGAGACTTCCTGCGGAGCCAGTTGTTTACTACTGTAGCTGGAAGGCTAACCTTTATAAAGCTAGCTAGCACTACTATAAGTCACACTAGCCCTCTAGCTAGATTGTTAATGGTCAGTGAGCAAGAAAGCTAGCTTGGTCGCTAATGGGCCTTTTTCTTTTTTTTCCAAGAGGAAAGGAGGCTAGGATACTTCCATTTATGATTCAGTTTAAAAAAACGCATATTTGGGTAGTTGTTAATCATTCCTTGTGCAGTTAACAAATCCCCAGTTTAACCAGATTAGCTTAATGTTATTTTGAGAAACAGACACATTCACAAAACAATATGTCCCTTGTGCGAATGGTTGACCAGGTATTGATTTTCTTTGTGCTTTAATGAACAGGTTACATAGATGTGCTGCTGCTGGGCATTTCAAAGACTGTGGGTGTTTCTCAATGTCGAGTACGCTTGCTTGGTAGCACATGTCTTCCGAGTCACTTGCTTTAGAAGCGAGGCAAGAATACTTCCTGGCATTCGGAAAACGAAGAGTGGAACACGCTAGCAAGTGTGCAGGTGTGAGTCATATGAGAGGCCCCGCCTTACATTTTCCACCACAGATTTGGGGAAATTGGTCCGTGCGCAAAGCATTGTGGGGATTTTAAGACCGCGGAGTCTACACATGAGCAGCCTCGAAATTTCTCACTACAAAGTACGCCGGGCTCGCTAGAATTCCAAGTATGCTGGACATTGGAACAGTACTTCAGCGGCACTCAATGACGTAGTATGCTTGAAATAGTGGCTCTGGGTGTTTCTCAATGTCGAGTAAAGCTGCTCCAGTGTGTACCCGAGGGAACCTCTGCAGCTCGATAAAAAAAGGTAAGCTAGAGTTTAGGACCCTGACAATAGATGAATACTGCAGAAAGAGAGAGGGAAGACGGCAAGAGGGAGGTAGATGGGGGAGGGACCATTTGGCATCTGTCCAGCAGCAATGCAGGTGCTACCAACAAGGTGAAACACAAGACATGATGTGTGTGAAGCTGTACCGAGAGGTGTATAGAAGGGGAGGTACATGAGGTGAATAGTGCAAACAAGTATGTGAGGTTGAGAAACTCCCTACAATGAGATATTAGCTAAAACAATAACAATGGACTGATGGTGCAATATCAAGACACTGGAGCTGAATCCGGTAAAGACTAACCACATTACATTCCTTCTCCTCTCGACAACTAGTTCAACTGGTGAATCAGCACTTGGGCTGAACGTTATCAGACTTCAAACAGCTCCCTCACACAGAAAAACCTTTATAAAACTTTGATTCATACAGAGTGTGAAGCTCCATCATCTCAGTATTTATTTTGTTCATATCGATTAATTAAGTTACATTCCTGTGAAAAGCCCTCGTGCATACATAAAGTTATATATTTCTCAACAATGGGAAGAAACGCCAAGGGTAGAACTTTATTCTTTCGTTGTATGTAGCTTTAAGCTGTTGCAAAAGCGACTGTATCCCATGATAACCTGCTGCCAGGGCAACCGGCTTTGTCATGCTGGCTCTTAGTTGTTCTCCAATTTCCTGTTAAAGCAGCAAGAGCTCTCTGGGTGCCTGACTGGCTTTCACGCTCACAGCCAGTGTTCTTTATGCTTTCAAACTAAAAGACAGAGACGTTTTTTAAACTATTTTTACACCATGTGACCCTAAAGTCTTACAAAAAAGCAATGAAGTGCTACTTGGGTAACGGCATGTTTTGCAAGTTCCTTCTATGTGCAAAAAGGAGCTCAGTGTTACACATGTTGGTAAAACTGTCCTATTTGCTGTGTATCTATGCAATATATTGTAATGAAAACACTGGCTTTCTAAATGTAAGCTATGAGACAAATGGCCCACAGCAGTGTGCCTAGCCTGCTTTCACTACATGCCAATCACAAGGCTTCTAACTGGAAACTACTTGAGGTAGTCCCAAAGTATTTTTCCGAAGCTCATCAAGTTCAGAGCGACATGTCAATGAGTCAGATGGCTTCTGTGTGGTTGGCAGTGCTACAGGTTAATCAGGACTGTCCAAATTCAACACGGTTATGCCACTGATTTCCTTTAAAGGACGTTAATTACATTAAAAAGTATTTAGCATTCTCAAATAGGAAAAAGTGTCCTTAAATGGAGCACTCGGCTATGTCCATTTTAAATCAGAATGTGAAAGAAGCACCTTTATATTTGTGGTGAATGATCTCCTAAACTTCTGACAATGTCAACTGTTTTAATGAAGTCACATAATCGGGTTGGGTGAGGAACAATCGTAAGGAACAATCGTAAGGAACAAGCAGACGTGCTAATGCTCTGTTGCAAGTTGCTATCATAAATGTATATTCATAGAAGAAAACGGCAATGGCCCCCATTTAAGAGCTGTACACAATATTCTTGATTGAATATATTTGAATGAGTTTCAAGCTATGATTCATTTTGGACTCGACCAGCTGAGTAACAGTTACCGCAGGGGAGCTGAGGATTCTGTTAGTAAGGCTGTAATGATCTGGCAGCTTTCTTGAGACTAAATATGCAATATCCAGACAAACAGATGGAACCACGAGCACTGGCGCCAAAGCATTTAAAAAAAGAAAATATCAGCATGCCTTACTAGAAAGCGTAAATAAACACTGATACAGCTGATCTCTAACTGCATCAGCAGGCTATAATCCCTTGACATTCATACAAAACATAACAAAAACATACTGTCATACTGTTGCACCTATATGACAATGGAAATGGGTCATCTACTGGTTAGACATCAGTCAGGATATAATAATCGTTCTAAGACTGCCATCACTACGAAGCAGAGCTACGACAAGCTGAAAGAGAATATTATGTGAAATCCGAGCCATCCTCTTCCACTGCAGCGTTTCCCTCACGCTCCGACTACCAATGCCCTCTGATTCCGCCAGACAAGGAGACGGGTCACCCAGCTCATCCACTTGTCCTCGCCGTGCAAATGCTCACTCACCATGAACGCTGCTGTTCCTTACAGTCCTCCACTGGGGATTTGTTTCCAAAAAACCTTAGTGTAGCGTCATCGCTGCTCCTGGCAACAAGACACCCAGGAACGAGAAGACGAGGAGATCAGAAAGGAAGGCAGAAGGACAGTCAAGCTGCCAAAAGAGGGACACTCCCCGCATTGGAGAGGATGCAGCAGCAGCATGACACCCCTCTATTTTCCTGCCCCCCCGGCCCCCCCCCCACCCTCTGTCTCTGAGCACTGACGCTAGCCTGAGCTGCTCTGCATCAGGTCTATGGCTGCTGCTGTGCGTTTGTGTGTCAGCAAATCAGCACCGCCGTCTGTTATTAGTTACCATCGCTGCACTGAGAGGAGCTCTGTGCTCTGCTCAACCCTGGCAGCCGTGCTAATCAATCCCAGAGCAATGGATCAGGTTTCAGCCACTGCCTCTCCTAATCCAGTCAGGAATCAAGTGTTGATGCAATGCACACATCTACTGCTCTGAGAGAAATTGTTCCTCTGCTAATTGGATGTTCCTCACTTTGTGTTGATGCAGTCGTTGCCTAGCAATACTGTAGCTTTCACAAGAATAAAACAAGTTTTCATGTTTTTTATTTTGAAGTATTCAGTGTCTCACTCTCAAAAGGGGTAATACCGTGAAATTCCTTTTTTAAAATGTTATTATTGTAATAATTCTTGCAGGAAGTGATGAATGACATTAATTTGTCGCATGTTTAATTGCCAGATATTGGTATGACAATATTACTTCACTGAGATATACGATACCTTCTTGTCAGGCTATGCATGTAATATTTATCCTTACATGCCATGTACTTACTTATATATATATCCCCCATTTTAGCTTTAGCCCAATTTATCCATAGCTGACTATCAAAATCACACATTTATTAAAGTCTAGAAGCGGTTTGAATGGCTTAATTTGAAAGTTAAAATGCCTGCTGGGAATATTGTTTAATTTCAGTTCAGCCCTACATCCAAAAACTCAGAAACTCAAACAGCCTGAGCTGCCGCAAAATGTAATTTAGAGTCTCAGCGGGGAACTGAATTTCTTTCTTCAGAAAGCAGCAATAGCATTTCACTGTGCCCAGACATTCTACTGAGGCCCCGAGATATATTGAAGTCCCCAGGCTGAAATGGTGTAAATTAGAATGTAAAAACCTGATTCACAGCATCCTCACAGGGGAAATGATACTGGCTGAAAGAGAACACAGTGTGTCCCGGCGCAGCTGAACAATAACCTTGGCAAATAAAGCATTAAACACACAGAGCGAGCCGACCCCGCCCTCGAACAGCGGCAGGACAAAAGCATGAAAACCTAGCCGTGTTAACTGATTCCCCAGGTTCAATATAGGGTTACAGCCACAGATGAGATGGGCTGCAGATAAGAAGCGCAGTCTTCGGGGATTCATTTCTAACCATTACAACAAGAGTCAACAAAACAAGGTACATATTAAAAGGGAGGATATGTAAACTCTTTGAACTGCACATTACCGGCCTTTCAACCAGGTTAAAAAGGTCTGTTAATGTGCAGTTCAAACAGTTTCAGTACAGAAGCGAGTGCTACTTCCGTGGTGTCAGACACAGGGATAATGGTAGACCAATAACAGGCTTCTACGGGCTCTAATTACACGCTGCCATCATGTTCTCTGGTTTATTTTACCAGAAGGGAGATGCTGTGGTCTGTAATTGGCTTTAAGACAACCTGACTGCCTTTTGAATGGTGGTGGGAAATAACAAAAGGAGTGTACAGTCACCAGCTATAAAAAAAAAATGTACATTAAAAGAACTATACTTTTTTTATGTTAGCTAGCTTAGCAACACAACATGCACGTAGGACAAATCTTAGAGAAACACTAAACATACATTGATTATTTTATTTGAAATGTTTTGGGTTTTAAGTCAACCAATTTTACTTCCATCTGGGGGAATGGATCAAAAGTAGCCAAGCAATTGTTATTATAAGTACTTATGTAGCTAAGGGAGCTACATTCTTTATTGGAAATAGTCAGGCTACAGTGACATAACCCTTCAGCTAACTAAAGAGAAATTAAAGCTTTTTCCCTAAAAATAAACAACTTATGTTAGGTACCATATAGTACTCCTGAAGATATCTATAAATGGCCAAATGAAAATAGCAATGCCGCCTCATGCTACTAAGACATTTTGTTAACGTGGATCTATTGTGGTTTAATAAATATTTAGCCCTGTCCTTTCAAATAAGTTTCTAAGCACTGCGAGTAGTAGCTCGTGCAGTTCTTAAGATAGCCAAAGGAGCTAAATGTCGCTGAAGGCATTGTACTACTTTTCAAGAACACAACTACCATTGTATAGTATGTTACTGATATTTTAGGAATCCATTTCCATAATGTCTTAAAACAACAATCTTAGTCATAGTTGTATATGTTATCATGAGTCATTATAATGTTTGTGTACAGCAGTTATTGGTCTGTATTGTCCATGGTACAGTGATAAGCCCTGCTAAAAGGCATTACTGCATCAAAAGCATTTGCTCATCCATTTGACCTTTGAGCAGCAGCTGTTCTGCACCACAAGCTGCTGCAGCACTGTCCTAATTGAGGTTTTAACAGTGTAAAAGTCAACTATAACCGAAATAACCAACTATTACATGAATTATCTAGGGTATAAGTAAGGACAAAATGCAACTTTAAAATCAATGGAGAGATGTAACGTACGCAAATTCAAACATAGCAGCGCAAATTGAACGCAAGGAGCATATTATCAAGTAAAACCTGTCAATTTAAGTAAAATGACAGAAATATTCAAAGTCTCTTGTGAGATCTCAGTCAACAAACAACACAAGCACTTGAAGAAAATCATGATTCTTGTGTATTTTTAAAACTAATTTACAGCTAACGTACTCAAAATGACATTGGAATTGACATGTTGGTCTTTGCTTATTGATTTAGGCAAAACCACAAGCCCTTCCAAACAGGATATGGTTAATAAAACACAATGATAGACTGCGTGTGTAAACCTGTAAAAGGAAGATTTCTACCTTCTGTATTCTCTTGGGGTCCTTAACGGGGCCTTCCCTGAGGGGGACCTTCCCAAACAGCTTCCACCCGGGATCCTTCTGCTCCACCGGCCGATTGTCCTTCACCCTCCTGGCAAACAGGCTCCTTGGAGACAAATGAGAGAGGGAATTAGATTGGAGGACAAACATGTATATAATGAGGTAATTAAAACACAAGGGCAAAGCATAGAACACAAGCTACCATCGCAGCCCTCACTGGGTCCCTCTTGGGGTCTAAAGAGCTGCAGTAAATGTGTGTGTGCATGCTACAGCAGAAGTTCACTACTTAGATAAGCTCACAACAGGAATCTGTGGATTTAAAGAACAAAGGGTAAAGGCAATGTGTGACATCATGTGAGCTGTCAGGCTGGTCAGGGTCATTTAAACTAGACCTGGACGCATAGAGTGGAGCAGTTATGACTTATTTTTGTAGGCTAACCCGGAAGCTAGCGAGGGCTCCTTCGACAAAAAGCTAATGGGATTTTTCCATTACATTTTGGAATATTGCAGAAAATAAGATCTGTGGCAAAGAAGTTTATGATGCTTACACGTTTTGTTCAGCAGTAAAATCTCTACATATTAACACCGCTTTAATACAAATTGAAGCATAAAGCAGTTGCCAGAAGTAAAGAGCTAACGTAATGCTATAAACAAACTACATCACGGTAGCATAACTCCGCTAAGCTAAAGGTAGATTGGGTGTAACGACTGTTTTTTAGCAATCGCCTTTTTTAGGACACGTAAAAGCCTAAGACATTTACCAGTGGGATAGCGGGGTCATTCAAAACGTGAACATCTTGAAACCTTGAAGACCATACTTTAGTCATCTAACCAAAAACGTATTTGAAAAACCATTGAAGAGAAAAGGGAACCCGTCACTGCTGCCTTCATTAAAGAATAGGAACTTTCCAATTGAAATAACCACTAAACTATCAGCTCTGCACCCAAAACTAAAAACCACCTTAACGCGTAAATAGAACAAGAATCTGCTCGCTGTGTTCAGCTTCCATCCACCTGGAGTTTGAATACCATATGCAAAGCTGCTGAAAAGCTTCCTCTTTTCAGAAGCATCCACTGTGTTATTTAGCCAGCTATTCCTTTCATTTATCCATCAGTGCCGTGTTGTCAAAGAGCGGTTAGTGGGGCTTTAATTAAAAGCTTCAATAGAGCCCTGTCATGAAAAGAAGAAATGAATAATGTGAAATTAAAAACCTTTTCCAACCAGGACACTTAACATAACACACAGAGTAAAGAGGAGTAACATCAAAGAGGGCATATGATGCTGTTAGTCTGGGTTACATCTCATCAAGAGACTCAAATGTCAACTGCCTTATCTTATAATTAAGGGACATTGTATTAGTCAAGATTAATAAGCCGTTCCGATAAGGAAGTTGTGATTGCACCATATGTCAAAGTTGGAGATGTTTAAATATTGGCCCATTGTCTACGTATTCAGCATATAGACTAGGGTTGCAAAATTCCGGGAATTTTCAAAGATGGAAACTTTCCACAGGAATTAACGGGAATTTATGGGAATAAACTGGGAATTTTCTAAATTGAAGGTTGGCTCTTCTTAGGGAACTTAAATATAGTTGGGGAAAGTATATTTTAGCATAATCTTGACAAAAACAAACAGATGCCATTCAAGTACACTTGAATATCCATGCCATAGCACACTGCTTACTGCATGGCTATTGAGACCACACAAAGGTTCGCAACAGGCTCACACATGTGAGAGTGGAAAAAGTGGTGGGCATTCGGGCAAACCTAAGGCTCTCTGAGCCTGACACAGAGCCATCCTCAACAAGGCTGGACAGTGACACTGCAGAGGAAGACTCAGAGTTGAATGTTGATGAGGCCCAGGAAGAGCCTGTTGACTGAAAGGGTTTAAAAATGCAGAGGATTGCTTGAAGGAAGATTTGCATGTTTAATGGGACTTTTTGGAGGGAGAAGGGCTCTTTTCATTTAACATTTTGAATGGGACTTTGTGGGGATTTTTGGATGGGGGGTGCATTTTTGTTCATTTTTTAATGAGTGGGGTTGGGGGGGGATGAGTAATATTTAACTCAACATTCCTGTTTTCGTTCTTCAATGAAACAAATAATTGTTCAATAAAATAATTAAAACTTGTTCTGTTCTACTTAAAAAAAAAGAAAATCTGTATGTCATGTTTTTTGTTTAATTTTGTATCGAATATTTCAAAAATTCCCCAGCTTAACTTCCCATAGAAACCTTCCGAAAATGTGCAACCCTAATATAGACTAACTAATATATTTGAGAAAATGTGAGAATTACACTAACTGGCGCTATGAAAATAAACCCGTTACTTACTAATGGTGTAAGAATTCTGACAAGTCATTTACGCTAGAGAAGCTGCCCCGAAAAAGACTTATAGCAGTTGTCTTTTCATGCCAATTTGGCAGTTTTAAAAAGATTTTTTGACATTATTTACTTTCCAATGGAAACATCTCAATCCAACCCAACCCATTTCTTCCACTGTATTTACTGATACTGAAGAACACAAGATAATGCAAGCATTGGAAGGTATTTCCTCATTAAGTAGGGGACTAGAACGTTTAAAGAAGAAGTTGAATGACAACACAGATATGAAAGATCATGAAGCAATTTCTTAAAGGTTGTGAACCCGGTGCAAAATGCAGTGACATTAAGCCTTATCTGTTCAGCTGTTCCCAGAACTGCACACTGGAATCACAGAACGGGAAACAAGCAACCACCAGATTTGCAACATTTTTTCGTAGAAAGATAAGAGACAAATGCTGGAAGAAATGAGGCATCAGACACTTGTAGAGCAACATTTTATACTAAGGAATGCAGTCATCTGTGTACGGGAATATCTGATGTTATCAAAGTAACCCAACTCCCCTCTGAGGAAAAGGAAGAAAACATCAGCTTTCAGTTACAAAGAAGAAAGCATCTGATCCAAAGGGAAGATCATAAAAAGAACAGTGTGACCAATACCAACCAGTGAATTCCAAACTCAAGGTCCACTTGCAAGTTTTTATTTGAGCGTGCACTGCCTTTTAACAGTCTTCATCAGCGTTCATGTCCCAAGCTCTAGTCATCACCTTTTGTAATGTGCTAAAGTTTGATACTCAGGTCACATGATGACAACAGAACCATCTCTATTTCAACTGAACAAACTCCATTTGCTGAATAAGACCATTCAGCAATGCATGATTGAAAGCTCCGAGAAAATATCAAAGTCTGTGCAAATCCTTCGTTGTGTCAAACTACCATTTCAAAAAGGTCAATAAAGAACATTCCAGCTCAACCAGGGACTTTTTCCAATAACTCGGACAAAAATTGACAATTTATTTTTGTCCAAGGACACGCTGAGGTGGAAAAATAAAGTGCACCATGGCTTTGAACTATGGCCTGGGTGAACTTCAGTAACCCTGTGAGCCAACATAAAACAGTGATGGATTGAGGTACAGAGGCCAACTGAGTCCTTCATTCACAAATCAAAGCCTGACTTTTAAGTTTATGAAAACTTCATACACCAGATTGTGCTGTACAGTTCATCAGAACATAATGTTTTCTGCTTAAGTGTATGCCACAGTGGGTGTTTACAATGCAGGGACGTGATTTGCATTCAGTCCGGGGCCAAGTGTGCCTCAACGTGAACTCTGAATGGCCGCGGCTATGGTCCAGTGCTCAAGTGGAACAGCCGGAAAATGGCAGAGCTGCTTGTTTGTATGTTGAGTTCAAGCTAAAGGCTTTGCACTGCACTGCTTTGTGACAGGATTTCACAACATTACGTTCAGTCTTGGTGTGTGTGCACAGGAGCTGATAAGGTTATGCTTCAGGTAACAATGGCATGGAAATACCAAACAAGCTAGTACAAGAATTGGGAAAGAACATTGAGTTTTTTCCTTCAGAAAGAACATCAGAGTCTCTGAGGAGGAGCTGCTTCCACACACTAAAGAGTTTAGTATGAATGTAATCCAACAGAAAATAGACTTTCTAGTAAAAAAGTCATCACTTCTGACCAAACTTCCAGTGCTTTCTGGCATGCAGAACACAAAAAGATGAACAAGTACAAAGAATGTCAACTAGAAAACTAACTTTGTATGTGCTAGTATCCTACCTGTCAATGAACAGAAGAAGTGATGGGGTTGCCATGCTGCTCTGTCACCACAAAAAACGGAATTCTCCCCCAAAAAACAGAGAGAAGGCACCTGAAGGGTTCTAGAAAGTACAATTCTTTAAAAGAAGAGCAAAGACTAAAGCTCTTCTTTAGTCAAGATTCAGGCCCATGTCTTCCAAAAGTTTAAGGTGGAGAGAGGAAATAGTCCCACACGGCCACTATGTTCAGAGACAGTGAGATTGTGGAGAAAGAGGCAATGAGAGGCCTGACTTCACAAATGGGAGGGGAGGAGTGGGTGTGAGGAGAAGGAGTCTGAAGGGCACTGAGGGAATCAGTAACTTCTCCGTTTGAGGTAGGAGGGATAATAGTAGAATAGGCAGAATAGTAAGGGGAGGTGCTGCCATGGTGTATTAAACTAAATGTAATTCATTTTAAATCAATTACAGTGGGAAAAAATTATACAAATCTGTCACTAAGTGTTACGTTAGTGCTAACACTGGTGTTAACACACAATGTGTTATCTACGCTAAAATGCTTGTGTGTCAGCAGGATAACAGAAGACACGTCATAAAGTGACACAGAGGGGGTCAGGTTACAGCTTCTATGACCTGGGCAAAAGTGACAAAAAAAAAAATACAAGTTTGACTAGGTGCTGTTAAAGGTGGGGTAGGTAAGTTTGAGAAACCGGCTCGAGATCGCTAGAATTTGAAAATACACAACCGGAGAAAATCTGCCACTTCCTTACAGAGCCCCTCCTCCAACACACACGAACGCGCACATGACCAATGAGGGCACGAGATAAGTTTGTGCACAGATGGAAGGCTGACAGGCAGGTAGGCCATCCAGTTATTTTAGCCGGGCCGGCTATGGATTTTTTGTCAAAGCACTTAAGATATTTATTGCTATCGGGATGTTAAGAGCATTCCATGGAATATAACAAAAGGTGTTTCTCAAGCAGGTTTCTCAAACTTACCTACCCCACCTTTAACCCCCTGCCTGTTCCTTCAAGGAAAACTCAATAGAGTGGAATGTGGCAAAGCAGTGAGAGGAAATTAAATACCATCCTAAGAACTACTTCCAAGAACTCTAGACTAACTTTGCTGAATTTTGGATACAATTTCAACATGCTCTTAGGTTGAAATATATAAACGTGTTAACAGTGATAGTTAGTAATCAACACAGCCAGAGCAAACCATTGTATTGTATGTAAATTAATACAAATAGTTGTTATGGGTAAACAGAAACCTATAATGAAGGGTCTTGTGGAAACCAAAAAGTCGTTTAGGATTTGTTTGATCATTTTGAATAGGTCAATTCATCACTAAGCTCCCCCGATTGATTATTTTTCTATTTCATTTTCAGATCTGGATAAATGTATAACTTTTTCTTTCCAACTTTTAATTCATAGTCTTGGTTTTTAATCTTTGTAAAACGCTGAATGTAGCTCGGTTTCTCCTTTCATTTTTGTTCTTGTTTATCTGAAGAAGGCTCACTCGAAGATGAGTTGTTGGAGTTCTTAAAAATGAAATAAAGAAAATAATTTGAGATATTGTAGTGGTGGTTGATAAGCAATTATTTAATTAACTTAACAGTTGCAGATGATTAGGTAATCAATTATCTTTTTGATGCATTCAGCGACTAAATATTCAAGCTCTCAAAATAATGTATTGAAAGTTTAAACCATGGGAAATGATAGACTAATGATACCTAACAGAGAATCTAAGCAAGGCAAAAGAAGACAAAAAGCATGGCCATGCATATCATATGCTCCTGCCGTTTGGGTAGATGCATTTAAAAACACTAGGTGGATAATGGCTGGGCCCACAGCTGGTCAAAAACCAAAGTAATCATGGATCATTATCTCAAAAAGGTAAAATATTGTGCCCCACCTGCTCTGTCTGCAACATCAGAGAGTAAGACGCACTCCCAATCACACACAGAATTAGAATGTAATGCCTTGTCTTCTTTACAAACAGAGCAGCACAATGATACAGTCCAAATGCAAACTAAAAATGGTGATGGTGGGATTTAGGGTATTAATGGAACCCTTGATTAATAAAAGGCAAAGTTGTTTTTCATTGGAAAGAAAAACACCTTCATTTAAACAAGGTTTTATCTTTGTAATGTTATTAACGAGAAGTGCACTGAAGTGACACTGCAGCCAGGAAACGCAGAGCTTTTTGTTTTACAGAGGGTCATTGTAGGTGAGCTGTAATATGCAAGAGTGGAGGGAGGGGGGGGGGGGGGGTATGTTGGTTAAGCAAGGTTTGTAAAACAACTTTGAGCAATGCCTACTTCTCTAGGGCTATATTATAAAGCCTTCCACACAGAGTCGAATGAGAGGAAGCAGAAAATGATTATTAGTTTGATGAGGCTTATTTTTCTATTTCTGGCCACTCCTGTGATAACCTGTGCTTTATCTCTTGTTATACCCAAATGATAGAATAAGCAAGTGATAAGCAATATTTCTTGCTTCAAATTGTTTACCTATTTGTCTTGATGCTAAAGTAGGGATATTTATTTAAAACTTCCAAATGTCATTGTTTAGTCCCAATTAAAATCAGCTTGTTATTTTAACCTATTTTGACCTTTTAAATATTTCTTTCAGTATATTTCATCAAGTTCTCCTATGGAGACAAACTTTATATTGTTATAACAACTGGGTTTAACTATATTGCAATTAGCTTTCTGTTAACCCCAGCCTCCACTTATGGGCAAATAAGCTGCTTACAACTACATTAAGTGTGTTATAAACCATTTATGAAATGTTTATACACTGCTTATGAATATTAAATAAGGGGGGGTTGAAGTAAAGTGTTACCACCCAAGTCTTGGATAACTGCAGGTATGGCTACAATGAAATGATATGGCAACTACCTTGATAGACACAGAAATTGAGGGGCGAAGTTCAAATGAATGAATGATCATGATGTAATAAAGAGCATGGAGCCCGGCTTTTGTAGTGCAAATCAACCATCTGAATAAAATATGAGTTATCGTAGACGGATATTCTGAACATACCTGTTGAATAAGCTTGCTAGAGGTCCTAATTTCTTTAGCCTTCCATCCTCTTCCTGATGCGGACCCCTTACAGGACTCCATAGGTCTCCGGGGTTTCCAGGTGACGTCGTCAGCGTCACGTCTGAGAAATGACTGCCGCTGCTGTCGTCCGTCTCCAAGGTAACGATGGCGCTGGAGCTGGAGGTGACGGTGAAATCCAAGATGTCTTCATTGGAGACGGACAGCTCGGTGCTCATGCTGGACATGCTGGATATGTCATCGCTGCGGTTTAAAGCTCCGACGGCCGTCCCCGTGGTGGTGGACAATCTGAGGGCGGGGCTAAGGTGGCGGATGGAGTCGTACCCGCTGCGGGGGAAGGTGGAGGATTTACGGATGGAGTTGCCATCAGTAGAATCTTCCAAAGTTAAAGTGGCGGGCGAGTAGGAACTGGAGTCAGAGACGAGGCCTCCGTCACCGGTGCGTTGGTGGACGTGGAGGATGGGCTCTGGAGGGTTGATCTCCAGAGTGGGGATACCCGAGTCCTGGGAAGTCAAGCTGTGGCAGTCCTGGTTCAGGTCCGAGTAGTTTTTTTGGGGGCTGCAGTAGTAGATGGGGGTGGAGGAGCAGGATGGCTTGTAGGTGGGCACGACCGTCTCACTGTGCATGGTGGAGCTGAGGTCATGGTGGTGGTTGTTGGTGTGATTGTGGAGGTCAGAGGCAGCCAGGTCCGTCACGACACAGCCATTCTGCACTATGGCTTCTCCAGATAAACCTTCAGAAAGAAAGTGACATTTAATTAGAGGATTTTTATACAACAGTTTTTTTAATAAAACCATTTTAAAGAAACTTGGAAATTGTGCAAGCAATACATTATCCATACCTGGTTTGATCGTGCTTTTGTATAATACCGGCTGTGTTTTCAAATGTTTCCTTAAAACAGAAAACACCGAAATGTCTACCGTTTGATTTTTATGTTTGTATTTATCTTTAATTGATTTCATTTTTGGTTTGATTGTTTACTTATTTATTGTACATTGGTTTGTGTGCAATTGTTGGGTCACTAAAAAAGATTGAACTATTAAAAGGTGGGGTAGGTAAGTTTGAGAAACCGGCTCGAGATACACTTTTTGTTATATTCCATGGAATGCTCTTAACATCCCGATAGCAATGAATATCTGAAGTGCTTTGACAAAAAATCCCTAAAAAAAATGTCATCTGTGGAAGCAGTAGTACTGTAAAAAGCACGACCAATCATTTTAGCCGGCCCGGCTAAAATAACTGGATGGCCTACCTGCCTGTCAGCCTTCCATCTGTGCACAAACTTATCTCGTGCCCTCATTGGTCATGTGCGCGTTCGTGTGTGTTGGAGGAGGGGCTCTGTAAGGAACCCCACCTTTAACTGAGAAAAATGCGATATAAATACTATTTGACCCTAAATAAAGAATTTTTAAAAAGTTACAATTCTACTATTCTGAACGATTTCCAGTGGTGTATAGGTGTGACATGAGCTCAAAGGGAGCCCAGCTTTTTTGTACCAAATTCCAGGGACCCTGAATAAGACTATCCTGCGAAATGGAGAACATGTATTATATAATAATGATTAACTGTATGTTTTATTGATTTATAGTAGGCTTTTATAATCCACATTAAAGTTTGAGTTTTTTGAAAAAAAAGGGGTATCATGTCAATAGTTTCCACTGACAGGTGGGTCAATAAACCACAAAGAATTGTTCCAAGGAAGTCCAAAAGGATTATTTTTTTAAAGCATACTTGTTAACAATAAAGATTTGAAAAGTATATACATCTTCAAAAAATGTGGTACATTGATAAAGGCCTCGATTATATGAAATTCCTTTTAAAATGTTATACAAAAACTAAAGAGTGATTATTTATTTTATATTCTATGATTTGGTGTTGTAATGCTTTTATTTCCACTTGTATCAGATTTACTGTTAATCAAACTGAAACACACTAAAAATGTGCAATGTGCGTTACAACTACACTTTCAGTCAAATTGATTGACAGAATTAGAATTATTCTACAATAATTTTAATAATTTATAGCTTTTCATCAATCAAAAATGCTAAACATTCACTGGTTCCATCTTGTCAAAAGTGAGGATATGCAACTATGACAGTTATTATAGCGTTGCAAATTGAATACAACTCGGTTATGGATGGTTTGTTGGAGATGATAAGTAATATTAAGATGTCTCCTTGGCCCAGAGCATTTTAATCCAACCCTGAATGTGATGCCATTTGAACATGTGTATATATGAGATGTATTCATACAAATGAATAACACCGGCTCTACATAATACAATATTTAAAGGTTTTTTCTGCTTGACCGGGGTATCAGGTTAGAGTAGAAGCCTTGAGAGGTGAAAACTAATCCCACAGAAACCAGGCTGTAACTGGAGTCCGGACTGTAATGTGAACAGGGGCCCCAGTAAAAGCTATATCATGCTTTAACACCAGCTGGGAAGCTAAGCTAAAGCTAAAGCTAATGGATCAGGCTCTCCAATCAGTCTTGTACTCAAGCACCAGAGTGTTGTAAATGCTAATGCCATGGGCAATTAAAATATATAGGTAGGTAAAAGGGAACGGTCAAATAAATAAACATTAACAGACAACAGGGCCTTTTTTTTGTGCAAATGTTTGACACATAAAGCCAGATTCTTACCCAAGTTTTAAACCCTGACCTGCAGGTTGTCATGTGATTTGGGTAAACTTTGTCCCAAAACATAGCAAAGGTTGGTCTTGTGCCACTCTGGAAATAATCTACAACCAGAGGTCACTAGAACATATCAATAAATAAAGTAATCTGTACAAACTCACTTACTTTTATTAAATGTATTACTGTGTACTGCTGAAAAACTGGCATTCTTGTTAGCCTAGCTTATGTTTTCAAACATAAACGCAATGCCCTTTATAAGGTTTTAACCACAAATCATTAAAAAGTATTAGCATAGTAGTGTAAAAGCAAGGCCACGCCAACATAGACAAGGCATGACAGAAGAAAGAGGTGGCTGACTCCTTAATTAACTGAAACACCCATTAGAGTATGCACACACAAATCTTGTTCTGCAGGTCATGATATAATTATTAATAGTATGACTTTCAGCGTGGGTAAACATAATCTCACAAATTCTAAAATAAGGGCATATGCTTCAGTCGTTTTCTAAGAAAAGTTGTCCTCCGTTTGGGTTAGGAAGCAAGTTCATAAGCGGCACTGCTGCAGTGTAAGATTGGAATGCATGGTGTGATGCATATAATACAGGGCACATGACATAAAACATATTTGATAAGTATGCCTGGTTTTTCAAGCCTATAGGGCTCATTTTTTCAATGCAGCTGTATTTATTTTAAACAGATACATTCTATCACCTTGAAGAATGCTGGTTAGCAAAAAGAAATAGATAAAAGGTTGTTTTTTTCTCTAAAAGTGCAGCTTGGTATTTGTAATCTTGAGTCCTAAATTAAGTGGTTTAGCAATTCATAAAAGGTTTTGAGCCATTTTGCTGGGGTTAAAGTTTGAAATTAATAGCAGCTGTGCCACTCTGTATTCTACTTTAAAATCATGTTGAATTCCAAACCGAATACAGAATGAATGATTCAGAAAAAGAACAGTGGTTAGAAAGTCTACATTTGAGCTCAGAAAAGGACTTTTAGTTAATTAGATGTATGCCGAATTTATTATTGGCCTTAAATTAATCACAAAATGCAAAATGTTCTGGTTTAACAACCGTAATATTCGAGGTTGAATTGAACTCAAATATTTTTTGAAGGCAGTTTGGCGTGACCTGTAATGTTGCCAATGCCAAGGGAGAAATGCACATTGCCTACACAGTATGAGGGCACAGTTCATGTGGTACGTGTTGTTAAAATAAAAAATAAATACATAAAAAGGTCTGAAAGCACATCATAATAACCTACCACAGCGGCTGTCTCTGCGGTCCCGGGTCCCGGTGGTCGTGTTCGCCATGATGCCGGTTGATGCTACAGGTGTCCGGCAGGTAGCCGCCTGCTGAAGCGGTCCATGGTGATGCTGTGATACTGCTGCTGCACCGCCCTCATCCCCCTGCCTCCTCAACGCAGCTTAGAGCACACAAACAGCACCAGTGTGAGGTCAAGAGTCGGAAAAATAATAATATAAAAACATGTAAATTCACCTCTGCGGAAAAGGAGGATGGTAAATATAAACACGTCTTCCCGGACTTGCGACCGACGATGATTCTAGCAGCGCTTCCTCAAGTGAATTATATCAAAATAAGTTCAAATGCGACGGACATGTTTTGCTCTCACGTCATCTCTACAGGAGAGGACACGCTTCACCGGTGTTATAACAACAAGCACATGTCATAAGTTTATCCGGTATCGTTAACATTTCATACCTGTTTTGACGCTTCCGCCGCCATTTTAAACCAAACTTGTACCGTGAGTGCGGTGCAATCGAGTGAAGAATGTTCACCGTCGATGGATTCACCTGTCTTGAAATTAAGGCATTAATAATCGATCGCGTACCTGCAGGGCAGGCTAACTTGTACTTAAGAACACGTTAGTAAGACAAGTTAAGTAGTGTACATTTACTCAAGTACGGTACTTATATATATGTACCGTATATATGTATAAGTTTGAGGTACTTGAGTATTTCCATTTTATGTTAGTTTGTACTTCTACCCAACTACAATTAAATTGTTTACCTTTACTCCACTACATTTATTTAATACCGTTAGTTACTTTAATGCATCAATAATTATAATCAAACCATATCATTATATTATTCTGAAATCGACCAATCTGCAGAATGAGTAGCCTACTTACTTTGGTATTTCTACTTTTAAACAAGAATTTACACTTTCCATGCTTTAAAATTGTTTGCTGCGTATATTATAATAAATACCCCTCCTCTATGTACTTTATGTGCAGTATAAATGCCATAATGCTACTGAAATTATATATATACATATTATCCCAGGTACTGTCTCACCTGTTCAATCCGTCATTTAACTAATCAAACTTGTTTTGCACAGCACCCTTTGTGCTGTTCAATGGGATGGGCGACTGCATGCTAAAAATATACTGACTTTTTGCTTGGTGAACTGCTATTTCAAAGATCAACATTAAACCCTTGCACTCAAAACAACTGCAACATGTGCAGAGGGAAAGACATTCAATTCTCATTTTGTGAGTGTCAGATCACACAAAATATATAACATTTTATAAAATGGTAAATATAACACTATTTTGATGACTATTCAATTTGGCCTCAAATGACTATAAGCTAATAAATGCTACAATAATAGTGTTTTTTTTATCACAACTTTTAGCATGGATGCTGTAGTGTCAAATACAAAATATTGCCCTTTTATTGAATCAAATCTGCATATAAAATATTTTTTTAAGGGTTATTTCTTAAATTGTTTGCAGCTTTTCACTTCACTGTTGATAAGTATGAATAGAACATAATGATTAAAGCTAGTGATATGAATGAGTATCATCACCCTGCCCTCTAGTGTCGCCATAAGGTAAGGTAAGAAAAGAAACAGGTAAACTCAGACTGAGGTTTGGTTTATTCCTTTATTAGATGTTAAGAAAATCCACAATGAAACAAAATAATTTACTCAGGGTGTACATGAAATTAGAACAACACATATACTCGGGACAGATGGGATTCAGGAAAATATAGGAAAGGGTGAAGGAGCGTCTAGGTGGGAATGAGAAGACGAGGAAAACGTTCAGTTTTCAGTGCCGGATATGTTCTTTAGACCACAGTGCAATCAGAACAGTGTTATTCCAAACGCATATACCCTCACTGAATGCATTTTTTCGTCTCACACGCTTTGTGTTTTTAACACGGGCTATCAAAATGGAAGAATTAAACGGAGAAAGGTGTGATGCATTCCTTTCACCTCCCATCTAAGTGCATTTTGTGACTTATCTTCTTACACACATTCACTCACAGATTCACACAGTCATAGCATTCTTTCAATTTAACCTCACTTTTATTTTTTTAAAACCAAAATATTTTTTGTTAAATCCAACATAAAACGAGTGTGATGTTTGCATGCTGCATTTCTAGAGACAGTCCGTGTTTTATTTTTTTTCCTGTCAGGTGTCCCTCACTCAAAACGTATCAACATGCTAAATTAGCTGAATGACTTTTCTCCGTATATTCTTTAATGTTTTCATGCGCCAAGGTATTGCATAGGACTTTTGAATTCCCCTCCACATTGCTTATGCAACCTACAATGGCTTTTTTTTTCTTCCCTAAAACTATATGTTTATGACAGTCACCTCTGTGGTTTGCGCGGAGGGAACTCCTGTCAATAATGTCTGCTCTACAATCAAAAGAAAAGTTTTTACATTAATGCATCGATGCACTGTCACAGGTCTGAGTGTAGATTATGCTTATATTAAAAAATTCCTGAGTGTCTGGTGACTGTTGAAGAAAGGTGACAAGACCCTGAAGTTGGAGTACCTTGGGGCCCTTTTTTATTAATTGAAGTGGCATTGGATTGAGCAAACCATTGGCCTGTAAATACAGTCGTTGCAAAATCAGGAAGCCATTTACAAAGCCATGCCAACCTGCGACTTACCGAAAGTCTGCACATTTTTAATTGCCCATAACAGAAGGATAGTTTTAGTTGTGTGCTTCAGTTTCATTGTATGTGACGAAAAAGTTACCCTACTACTGGCCTCACTACCTATAGTTTTTAGCTGAAAACGAAAGAAGGTAAAAGCCAGAAGGTTTGCCAATTTGTTCAGGGCTTTTCAAATTTAAGGGGCGCTAATATGCATTTGCATTTTTCGTGAACGTAAGTCTGCATACATTCACGTTTCTCTGAGATAAAGTTCTAGTCCCCTCATTCTGAACCTTCACAAGTTTTGCCAACACACAAACACACACACTCACACATAGTGAGATATTACTCAGTATTTCAACAAGATATATTGTAAACCAAAAAAAGAAAAAAAGAACACACCTCATATGAAAAAAAAAAGCATTTGTACCTTAGAGTAATTATGCCATGTTTTTGGTTTGACCTCCACTCGCCACTTGCTTGGTTATACATTTGTTTAGTTGCAAAATGGACAATAAACCATTAGACAATGCTGATTCTGTCCTTTCTGTTTGGGGACAAGTAACTTAAAAGATGAACATGAGATGTAAACACCTGCAAGTATTTCTGCTTCTGCTGCAGGCCTGACAACTAAGAGGTTAACTTAAAATAAAAAACCAAGCCACATTAAACAAGAACTGCGATCAGGCTAATCTTTTTTTCTTCTTTTCTCAATTTTTCCGCAAAAAGATATTCATGGAGTCTGACTGTCTGGACTACAAAGAAAACTATGCAATCTACTTGTATCACAGCCATATTATGGAACTGCAATTCAAAAGATTCTTGAACATATTTATAGCACCAATATTTTGTACCATAGGAATTACAAAAAAATTAAAACAAAGTTTCATTCAATTGCAACACAGGTGTCTGCAGACATGGCTGTAGCCTTATCATGTTGGGTCTTTACCCCAAAACAAACTCTTTTTTTTCTCCCCCAATTATTTTACAGCATTGCATTTCAAGTAGATCATTAGTATTTTTTCCAACAAAACTCCTTTTGATTTCCTGTTTTTTTGTTTTTAAAGGATTTTTTTTCTTTTCTTTTAGCCTCACAAACCATACTATGTCTACTACTAGCTTTTGTAAGACTATCACCATTCAAAAATCAGACTCATTTATGATAACTTTTCACACATGGGGAATTTATGGATATTTAGAAGAAAAACTGCACACATTCTCTACTTCACATTCAGAAAGTCGTCCAAACAAACTATTTAAATGAAACTCTCGAAATTCTTACACAACTCAAAAATCTCAACTTCCTTATAATTATCTTTCTGAACACAAGATGGAAAGTAGAGTATGCGAAAGCTGTCGTTTCACACAACTTTATGTTTAACTAGAAAAAGAGGAGTGAGACTGGCTGGACGAACATGCACAACCATTCAGATACCAGCAACTAGCAGTATCCTAGCTCAAAAGCAAAGATGGCGGGAACAAAACTGACAAGGATAGAACAAAAGATTGTCCCTACTACCTAACTGTGAGACTTGAATGAGGATCAGCGTACAGGAGAACCAAATGAAACAAATTCTAAAATGCCTAAAGTGCATGTTTGCACATGGCATCACTCAAAGACAGAACATATTTTTTGAGTTTTCCTATTTTCTCTCACTTTTTGTTGATCTGATTGTTGATTACACAATGTTTAGTAAATGAAAACCAACAGGGGTTATGTGTGGGGGTTTTGGATGGGAGTGTCAGAAAATAAGCCTACATTAGGTTTTTCCAGCTCCGAGATGACCCTGAATCTTTGCTGGTAGAGGTCCAGTCACAAAAGGAGAGGAGAGTGTCCTCTCTACGACAGGAGTCCTCTGCAAAACTGGAGTAGTCAAATGTTGCTGCTCCCTGGAGAAAGAAGTCAGACAAAAAAGGTTAGATTGATACAAGTCTAAAGGTCCATGCTGCCTATGTTTCTCCTTTACATCCTACAGCTATCGAATGGTCAAACTGACTGTCAGGCTCATGACCTGATTTTCAGCCATATTTTCACTGCTAATGTTTTTCTAAAACCCCCTCAGTGGAATGCAGGTAGCCATCACCAAAAATGGGTATACTATTTAGGTAGCTCATATATTTTGATGCCTGCAACAGCAGAAGCTGATGGCCAGTATTATACAGGTCTGTCTCTAGGATCTTAACATCACAATATTGGGACAATCAATCAAGTTTTTTTGCATGAGCAATGCTTTCTAGGTCATGGGACCTGATAGGTCATATCTTTTTTTGAATTAGATTGTGCTTTGTATATAGCACTGATAGACATCTATAAAGAGTGTCAATGTGAATGTGTTGTGGGAGGAAGGTTTGGGCCCAAGATAGGGAGTCTCTGTCCATGTCCGTCATACCTAATACAGTTTTAATAACAGTTAAATAGTTGGCAGTAATTAGATTTTCTCTTTGCTGGTGAATAAAATGTAAAAGTATTTTATTTATTTTTAAACGGTATACCTGTACACTGCGATCCAGGGAAAAGGGGGGAACAGAGTGTGTTCTGCCACCAGCACTCGTCTTGCTGGTTGCCGGTTCCTCTCTGTCCACTTATATTTAACAGAGGGAACTATAAAAGACAAATGAGAAGTGGTTAGTGTGTCAGTAAGGTGAAACCCTTTTAACAGCCATTTGACAGATTATGAAAACACTGTGTGGTTATGCAAACAGTTTTGTTGTAATGCACTAGCACACAGAACATTCTTACGACATAATTTTAGGAGGAAACCCTCACCTCTGGAACATCTCCCACAAAGTCATAAGCGATCCCATACTTGGGGATCTGACCCGCTGGTGCAGAGAAGCAGGA